CCTAACCAACTGAGCCACGCAGGCATCCTTTGAAGTTTTATTAATCCAGAAATTCCTGTGACACTTGCAAAGCTATAGGTATTCAGAATTACCTTTTGTTCTGGTGAGTCCTTCAAAGTATAGTGGTACTATTTAGCACTACTAATTTTATCTCTGAAAACAAATATTTTTCGAAAGAAAAAAAAATCCTTCTCTGAGCACCTGTTATGGGCAGGTAGAGATGAATAAACCACAATCCCTGCCCTCATGGGACTCACAGTCTGATACAAGGAAAAGACAGATGCAGAATGACTGGAGTAACCCTGCATTAAAAAAAAAAAATTACAAAAGAAGAGAGGGAGCACATCCAGCCTCGGGGGTGAGGGGAAGTTTGCTGCAGAAGGTGTTTGAGAAAAGCCTGAGGGACTGGGTACACTAGGCAGAGCGAATGTCACCAGGACTCTCCTTTGGTTGATGCAGCGTCCCCGTGTAGAAAAGCAATGAGGGCCTCGAGTGTCAGCACAATGACGCAAAAGCGTTAGAGCGGGTGAGATGAGCTGGCACCGGGAAAGCCTAGAAAGGTCAGACCCAGTTAAGAGGCTGGTACGGTTATCTATGTGAGCAGTTTTGAGGCTAAACGACCTGAAGGGGAAGGGAAGGAGAGATGGGGTAGGAAACAGTCACAGGTGGAGTCAGCAAGCCCTGGCAGGGTGAGGTGAGGTCAGGAGCGAGGACGAGAGCGGGGTTAAGTGACTTAGGTTTCTACACAGACGGCTGGAGAAGTACGGACCCCGCACCAACCTCCGCCCCGCAAGTCTCAAGGAAGAGCTGTTTAAAGAGGAAAGAGCCAAAGTGCCAGCACGAAAACCCTGTGGCAATGTCCAGCAAGGGGCGTGAGAAGAGGGGTTGATAAGCTAGAAAACAGCGTTGGGGCTAGAGATAGGACATTCTTTTATAGGAGGAAAGGGTCTTCTGAGATGAGAGTGGCGATCTTTAGCAGAGCCTGGTGAACAATGGCCCCAGAGCTAGTCAACCTTGGTTAGAATTGGCAGTGGCAGGAGCTTGGACCCAGCAGTTAACCTCTCTGAGCCTCCGTTTCTTCATCTGCGAAGTGGAGTGAAAAAGAAGTACTTCCCTCACTGGCTCAAAGGGAGAACAAGGAAATGAAAAACAAAATTGGAATATATCCCGGCACACAGTTGGTGCCTGATAAGTGTTAACTTCTCCTCCTCCTCCTTCTCCAAATGTACTATTATATACACAGAAGTGACAAGTAAAACTTGATGAGTGAATGCAGTTCATTCACTACCTCATTCAATAAACACCCATTAAGCCCCTGCACTGTGCCAGACCGAGGGCCAGAGACTTGGGAGAAAAACAGAAAAGGGCAGCAATTCCGAGAACACCTGCTCTCAAGGGGCAGGCGGAGGAGGTTGCTTCCAAGAGAACAGGCAGGAAGAGAGGCAGGAGGGGAGTCAGGCAAGTAGGGGGTCCCCAAAACGGGGGCAGGGAGAGAAGCTTAGCTTAGCCAGGAGGGGTTGTTCCTCAGTCTCACGTTCTTCAGGAGGAAATGGAGGCCTGAGAAACCCTCACTCTAGATATTCGTTTCCTGCCCTTTTGGTTTCCTGGCCACAGGCTGAGGGGGGCCGAGGAGAGAGGATAGCAAGTCTGTAGGATTTCCTGCCTGACTCGTGGCTGAACAAGGACAGGGGCTTGGTCTGAAGCTCCCTCACCACCCCAAATAAGCAAACAAACACTAGGAGGCATGAGAGCCCAGAATACTCCATCTGCTCCCTTTCTCTCCTCTGCACACTAGAATGGAAGAAAGAGAGATGGTCGAGTGGCTCTGAGTTTCAGAAAAGGGGAGGCAGCTTCTTCGAGAGCAAACACTATCCAGGATAGAACCTGAAAAGAAACCGAGAAACCCTCATTCTCACCAGACGACCTAAGTCCTCACTTTGTCTGAAAACCTTTAGGCTCATAAAGGTGCAGGAAAACATCCTAAAGAAGCTGAAAGGAGATAGGTCCAAGTAGACAGGGCTGGCCCAAAAGGAACATGTTAATGCACAGCACCGCTCACTAGACCCACGGTCTCCCCCAGATAGAGCCAGTCTCCTAGCAAACAGGCGAGGCAGGCAGCTGGACTGAGGCCGTGCCCTGCAGGCTTTTATACCTCCAATGCCTACCATCAACACCTGTGGAAATAAGGCCTCTCCCTCCCAGAGGCCTCCACATTCTGGCGGGGTTCATTGGTAGAAGTGCTTTTTTTTTTTTTAACTTTTTATTTATTTATTCATGAGAGACAGAGAGAGAGAGAGAGGCAGAGGGAGAAGCAGGCTCCCAAGGAGCAGGGAGCCTGATGCGGGACTCGATCCCAGGACCCTGGGATCATGACCTGAGCCGAAGGCAGACGCTTAACCATCTGAGCCACCCAGGCGCCCGGTAGAAGTGCTTTGACAACAGCTATACCTCGGGGCCTTCGACCTCGCTGAGCACTGATACCCAGTACCAGGACCTTTGTCATGTGGCTCTGATCCCTCCCAAAGAAGAATCCCATAACATCCCAATAACAATACGTGTGTGGTATTTTCCATACCTCCATAATACTATCTCATTTGAGTCTCACAACAACAGTGCAAAGTAGGAATTATTTCTATCTATATTTTAGAGGTAAACAAATAGATTCAGAGACCTGAAGTGATTTGCCAAGGTGAATCCACTAATGAGTAGTGAAATCAAGACTCAAGTTCACGTCCTTCTGTCACTGATGCACACATGCATAGATGTATTCATTTGTTGAGTGTCTACCCTGTGCCAGGCACTGTATGATCTAAAGCCAAATCGCACCTTTGGTTTTTTTTTTTTTTTTACCACTTCTTATCTCTCAGTCAACCGTGACTCAGTTCCTAGAAGACACCTCTTTTTCTCTGCATCTTGAGCACCCAGCATAGAGTCTGAAACCAAGATGCACTGAGGAAAGCTAGTGGTTGACCAGCTCAATCCTAGACTCCTCAGGGTCCATATGCCCTTAGCTCTCCAGGTTGCATGGCTTTGTGTGGGGGTTAACATGCACACAGATCTGCTTTTGGTTTGGAGCCCTATGACCCAACAGAAGAGGAAATATCTTTTCCTTAAAAGCTACAAATCCAACCTTATGGAGCTCCAAGAATGCCCCACCCCAGTACCATCATCTTCATTCCGTTGTGGCTCAGTCCACCTCATCCCCAAAACTGGCTGTCTGGGTGCTGACCAGGTCTCATCCTGTCCTCTTCTCCCACAGCTTTGTCACCCGGAAGCACCGCCAGGTGTGTGCCGACCCACAGAAGAAATGGGTGCGGGACCACATCAACTCTTTGGAGATGAGTTAGGATGGAGGGCGTCTTGAACCTGAACTCATGCAAACTTCCCTAGTGCTTCTTGTTCTTGTCCTAACCAGCTTGGGAGACTCCCCACAAACCCCTGCTCCCACTCCCTCCTGGGAGGGCACAGATTCCACCAGCCAGCAGCAGCTATAAAAGCCTCCTCCACCTAAAGCTCCCAAAACTCCTGAGGCTCTGCCTTGTGCACACAGTCTCTCGGCTCTGAGCTTCATTTAGGCCCCTCGGCTTCTTGGCCCCGGCTCTGCAATCAGAAAGGAAGTCAGCTTGCCTCTGGAGGCGAAGAAGGGAGGAAGACTGGGCTCCTTCGGTGAAGTCCTGCAGCCACACCTCCTCTCTCAGCCCCTCACTGGGAAGGGCTGACTGGCAAAATGTGAGAAATCAGCTTCTCATTAAAATTCTCCATGCAGTTACCAAGCTGGATCCTGGTTTGACTGCCTCCTCGGGAACTCTCCTTCCTCGTGAGCATTAAGCAATTAGCTGCATATTGAATTTAACTGTCCTGTCTTTTTAGCGTTCGTTAGCAGACTTTTCTTGTGTGACTTCAAGTATTTGATTAGGAGTTCATATAAAATCTTTGTAGAATGTTCCCTAAGTTTGGATTTGCCTGGTTGTTTCCTTATAATTCGATTCAGGTTAAACATTTCTGGCAGGGACACCACATGGGTGACACTGGGTTTCTCAGTGCAGCACATCAGGGTACATGTTGGTTTACTGGTGATGTTGAGTCTGATGGCCTGACGGTCCAGATTTCCTTGCCACAGCGAGCTCGCTGATGTGTGACAGGCACTATGCCAGGCATGGGAGGTTGGCGGGTAGAGAGATAAATGAGCCACAAGCCACAATCTTTAATTTTAGGCAGATTAAACATATGATAAACACCTAAAGGGAAGCAACGGTTCAAAAAGCTGTGGTCACACGGGGAGTGGGAGTGGCGGGGGGGGGATGACACCACTGAAGGAGGTGAGGCAGGGTGCCTGGGGGAGAAAAGAGATGTCGGAGATGAGACAGCATTTAAATGAGGTTTGGAAGATTGGAGAAACAGTTTAGCAGGTAGGAAAGGCCTGACAGGTAGAGGGAACAGCATATGTAAAAGTAGGAGGTACGGAAGGCAGCTCCTCACCACACAGGGAAGAGCTCAGTCTCTTGCAGCCAGGCAGGGAGGTGTGTGTACAAACGGGGTTTTCCCGCTCCTGCCATTTTCCTGATGACTAATCCTAAGAACCATCCCTGCCCCTCCCATGGGCTGATGTGCGCTTGACAGTTCACCAAATGCTTTGACTTTTTCCTTCCCGTGCATGCCTCACCACAGCCCCTCTGGCTCCCAGATAGGCATGACTTTCCCACTTTTCAGATGAGGAAACGGAAGCTCCCAGAGGTCAAGTGACTAGCTCAAGGCCACAGGCCAGGAGACCCCAGGGGTGGGGGCTGGGGGGGCGGGGCTCAAGAATGGAACTGGAGTCTTCCATTTACCTAGGAGATCTGGTTGCTCAACACTCGGAAGATTCTACCCGCAGAAGCCCCAGTCCCTCACCAGTCCCTCTTGTGCCACAGAGGACAGGTCTGCCCCAGCTGTGCCCCCACGCTCCCAACAGCCCTGTATTGCCCCACCTAGCCCTCTGGCCCCACCAGGAGAAGAGGAGGATGGCCTATGAAAAATCAACTGATATCTGTGACATCTCCAGGTCCCTGTTCAAGTACCCATGGCTGGAATACCCAGAAAGGACCAAAGGTGAGGCTGGAATAGACAGGAACAAAGTCAAGGGTGGGGCCTGAAAAGAAAAGCTCCCTGGCTCCCTTTCCCAAGACAGGGGTCTGGTGAGTGCAGCAAACCCACAGGAAGGGTCAGGGCAGGCCACCGGACACTTGGTGGCTCCCCAAGGCCTTCACGGTAAGTCTCCACGACCCGCAAAGATGGGACATCTGTCTCTCTAGCTTCCGCTCCCACATCTGCACCCTGCTCTCTACCCAACTCCCCACCTCCTGGTCTTTGAAAGAAGTCATTCCTCGTGTCTGGCGCTCTTCCCCCTTATCTATCGGGCTAACCCCAACGTGGATTAAAGACTGAGCCTCTGGGAAACCTTCCCTGATCCTCCCAGCCAGGTTAGGGGCCTCATTTGTACCACCTGTGCCTGTATCTTCACATTTGTCTCCCTTTGTTAATCACTAGTAAACAATTCTGTCTCACCAGCTAGATCCATGGTTCTCAGAGTGTGGTCCCAGGATGAACAGCATCAGTACCTTGTTAGAAAGGCAAATCCCCAGCCCCCACCCCAGATCTGCTGAATCTCTACTCAGGATGAGTGCCAGAAATTGGTTTTAAGAAGCTCTCCAGGTGAATGTATGGTGATTAACATAACAAAAAAAAGGAAGCTCTCCAGGTGATCCTACAACACACTCAAGTCTGAGAACCACTGAACGAGACCACTGGTTTTCACCATCAGCTGCACATTAGAATCCTCTGGGGAGCTTTCTGAAAGGCCTAGGCCCTATCCCCAGAGCATCAGATTCAATTAGTCTGATGTAGGGCCAAGGCAGGTTAAAAGTTCCCCCAAATAATTCTAACATGCAGCATTCACTAAATGCTGAATAAATGAATGCCTGACTGGATGATTCTTAGCCCACCATTTGTACCACAGAACTCAGAAAAGTCATGGCTCCTGTTCACCTGCCCCTGTCCTGCTACCAGGTAAGACCCCTAACTTTTGCCCCTCCCCGCCCCGGAAGCTTTGTTAAAATGGGAGGGGCAGCAGACTGCCCCTTTCCTTTAAGGCCAGGTCACAGAACCCTTACACTCATCCTTGGGACTGCCGCTAGTTCTGTGTGACCTTGGACAAGTCACTTGCCCCCTGCCCCCGGGGCCTCAGGAGCTTCCTCAGTCACAAGCCAACCCCTGTCCCACTCCATTCGTGGAGTTGCTATGAGCTACTATCTGTAAGGCCCGGGCTTAATGCAGGCAGTGCTTAATAAGGAGTCATTTTTTTTAATAATTTTTTATTGTTATGTTAATCACCATACATTACATCATTAGTTTTTGATGTAATGTTCCATGACTCATTGTTTGTGCATAACACCCAGTGCTCCACGCAGAACGTGCCCTCTTTAATACCCATCACCAGGCTAACCCATCCCCCCACCCCCCTCCCCTCTAGAACCCTCAGTTTGTTTTTCAGAGTCCATCTTCTCTAATGGTTCGTCTCCCCCTCCGACTTACTCCCCTTCATTCTTCCCCTCCTGCTATCTTCTTCTTCTTTTTTTTTCTTAACATATATTGCATTATTTGTTTCAGAAGTACAGATCCGTGATTCATCAGCCTTGTACAATTCACAGCGCTCACCATAGCACATACCCTCCCCAATGTCTATCACCCAGCCACCCCATCCCTCCCCCCCCCCACCACTCCAGCAACCCTCAGTTTGTTTCCTGAGATTAAGAATTCCTCATATCAGTGAGGTCATATGATACATGTCTTTCTCTGACTGACTTATTTCACTCAGCATAACACCCTCCAGTTCCAGCCACGTCGTTGCAAATGGCAAGATCTCATTCCTTTTGATGGCTGCATAATATTCCATTGTGTATATATACCACAACTTCTTTATCCATTCATCTGTCAATGGACATCTTGGCTCTTTCCACAGTTTGGCTATTGTGGACATTGCTGCTATAAACATTGGGGTACACGTACCCAATAAGGAGTCATTTTTATTCATTAATGTGGGGATCCTCATAGTTAGAGTTGCCAGATAGAATACTGGATGCCCAACTAAATTTGAATTTCAGATAAGTAACTTCTTGTATAAATATGTCCCAAATATGGTATCCAATACCTAAACTCTAAATTTACCTGGGCGTCCTGTTTTTTTTTTTATTTGCTTGGTTTTCACTAAATCATTGACAACCCTACTCATTACAAGTCAATACTCCACTTTCTGAAATCATGGCAGTCACCTGACAACCTTTACTATGATCTTCTCCATCACCACAGTGAAAAACACTGGCTGGAGCCCCTCTTGTTGCTCAGAGAACTGACTCTGACAAAGGCTGGGGCAGAGATAGGAGGGAATTCTAGCCAAATCTGCGGAGAAAGTCCCCTGACGCACCCACCACCCTCCACTACAATCACAGCTGCAGTTTCACGACCGTTTAAGAGACAGGTTGTTTAAGGAAATTCTGCTTTTCCAACTAAACTGTGAAGTTCCACGAAGGGCAGGGATGATAACTGCCTCCCCAGCACCTAGCACAGTGCTTGGCACTTAGCAGGTGCTCGGTGAGTATCTGCTGCATGCCTGAATGAATAGCCTGTCTTTCCCCTCTTCACATCTCCCTCACCCCTTGCCTTTTTTTTTTTTTTTTTAAGTTTTATTTATTTGTCAGAGAGAGAGAGCACAAGCAGGGGGAGCGGCAGGCAGAGGGAGAAGCAGGCTCCTTTGCCTAGCAAGGAGCCCGATGCGGGACTCGATCCCAGGA